TTATTTTGCATTCAGCAACAATGAATTTCATCTGCCATTTTATCACCAAGTTAAGTGGAATCCCTTTCTAACTCTTTACAGTCAGCATTGAACTGAATTATCTTGAGTAAATTTGTACTGTCTGCATAGTTTGCTATCTCACTGTTCATGCCTTTTCCAAATTAGTTTTGAACAGCACTAGGAACAGTAGAGTTCCTTGGGGACTGCAATATTTCTCTCTCTCGGTTGCAAAAACTGACCATTTATTACTACTGTTTTTTATCTTTTCAACCACCTAATGATCCATGAGAAGACTTTCCCTTTTATCCCATGACTGCTTACATTGCTTAAGAGCATTTAATGAGAGATCTTGTCAAGGGCTTGCTGAAAGGCATTGTATCAACTGCATCATCTTTGTCTACATATTTTTGACACTCTACAAAAAAATCTAGTAAATTGGTACAGCACCTTTTTCCTTTTCAAAAGCTTTGTTGACTTTTCTCCAAAATCATTTTCTTCCATGTGTCTGATCATTTTGGTTTATACTGTAGTTTTCACCAATTTACCTAGTACAGAAGTTAGGATTACCAGCCAGTAATTTGCCAGGATCAGTTTTGGAGTCTCTCATAAATATAGGTGCCACATTAGCTACCCTCCTCTCATCTAGTAAAGAGGCTAATTTAATCAACAATTTTTACCCTACACTCAACAGTTCTGCAATGTCATATCTGTGTTCCTTCAGAACTCCTCAGTGCTCATCATGTGGTCCCAGTGAATTATTGCTGTTTATCAACTTGTTCCAGAAAACTCCTGTGTCAATGTCTTAGGCCAGTGTTTTCCAATTGGTGCTCCATGGAACCCTGGCGTTCCACAAAGCAAAAGCAAGGGTTCTGCGAAAAGCCAGCATGCCTCCTCCATCCCCTGTTAAAGAGACAGTGCCGCAGCGGGAATTGCAGCTCACTGAAACGTGGCAGAGGCCTTTTTTTAAGGCATCCCTGGGGGTCCTGTGGCCAAATAAAATTGGGAAACATTGTTATGTCTAGACTGCAAAGAAGAGTCAGAAAAAGATTTTTTCACTTTTTTTTTTTTTTTTGGAAGAGGCTTAGATGTAGGAATCTCCCTTATGTCTCTCAGCAAACATTGATGGAAATATTTATTTAATTTCTCTTCAGTTGCTTTGTATTCCTTGAGTACTCTTTAGCACCTTGATTGTCCATTAATCCCACTGATTGTTTGGCAGGCTTCCTGCTTGTGATGTGCTTAAACATCTTTTTGCTATTAGTTCTTGTATCCTTATCTAGCTGCTCTTCAAATTATTCTTTGGCCTGACTACTTATACATTTACACTTGACTTGCCAAAGCTGATACTGCTTTTGATTTTTATCACTAAGATTTGACTTCCAATTTATAAAGAATGACCTCTAACCACCTCTTTTTACTCTACTATTTAGCCATGGTGGAATATTTTTAGTCATCTTTGTTTTTACTTTATTTGAGAAATATGTTTACTTTGAGGCTCTGTTAGTAAATAGTCTCTGTGTGTAAACCACACATCTACTGTGGTTCACTTTCCCATGCACTGGCCCTTAAACTACTTAGAGAGAGAACGAATGAGTTTGCTCTACAGCCTTATCAGAGAACTAGCTGGCTTTTAGATCAAGCTGTAGAACCTCATGCACTAAAATCCAGAAGTCCCAGGTTCAGTTCTGCCTGTCAGTGTTACACATACAGATTGCAAGCATTTTACCCTTGTGACTGGGAAATTTCCATTTAACTGGCGTCTTCATTTTTCTTTTGAATTGAAATGCTTCTGTTCTGAGTTTCTATTACATTTTCCCCTTATTATGACATTAAGTTTAATTACATCATGATGGCTATTACTGAGTAGTTCAGCTTGGACCAGAGCCTGTGCTCCATTTAGGAGCATTCCTTTTGGACGAAGCCTTGTGCTGCATTAGGATTAAATCAAAAATTGCCTCTCCCTGAACATTTTAAAGTAACTGACAACATCCTAGTCAGATGGTCAGTAGTATAATTCTAATATTTGACTTGTATTGTTCAAGTATGAAATTTCTATTAAGAGATTTTGTGTACAGTTTGATTCATTTAAGATTTTAACTTCATTTGACTCAATGCTTTCTTTCACATATAGTAACACTCCCCACAGGCACAATCTATTTTGTACCTGTTATTACTCTGTCCCATTGGTTATCCGCATTCCACTAACTTTCCACAATGCCTATATTATCAATATCCTCATTTATTATCTAGTTCAAAGACTTTAGTATATAGAAGTCTAGATTTAGACTTAGATATGATTAATCCAGTTCTGTAAATCCAACTATGCTGTTTTACTGCAAAAATGGGAATCAAGAAACTTCTCATGCATTATTTTCCTAGTTTTAAAGATTTCCTCATTTTGGTGGGATTCCAGGCTGAAGGAGACAAGGAAAGATGAAGTAATAAAGTACAGGATACTTATAAACTAAAGTGACAAGCAAATGGAAACTCTTTGCAACAGAACTGGAAACTCATTCAGCAAAGTACTCTAGCTCCGTATTTTTTTATAGCAGTGACATCTCAAAAAACCATACTGGAAATATCACAGTTTAAAAAACTTTCATATGCTGTGATAACATTTACAGAAAAGGGAAGACCTAAATAAAAACTGAAGTGGGAAAGTGAGAGTGAAGCATGAAAACCTAGATAATTAGCAAGTGAATAAATGCCGATGGAGAGAAATAAAAATAAAAAAGCAGAACATTAGGAAGGAATAAAAGAATCTGATCAAATTGTTACTTAACTTTTGGTTTTACTTAAAGTAAAATAAGTTTTTTTTTCTGTTATTCAATATTGATTTCAGCACCGTAACTGCCACTGCTACCACTACTGCAACTAAACTTTCAGATGTTTCTAATACAGCCTCTTTTGTTTGCTTGTTTGTTTTGCTAACTTTGGGAAGCTGTGAGGTATCATTTTTTTCCTTTTTAAAACAGAGCTCAGGCATAAACATTTCACTAGACAGAAATACACTAATTCTCAGCTATGTTTTTTTAATCATTTCAACTGATGCAGGAAAATAAACGCAATAGACTACAGTTGTCTTCTCGCCAAGTCTTAAAGATTTTTTTGTCATCTGAAATGAACTGTGACTAATCCTTGTTAATTAATCACTTTTTTTTAAGAAAACCCAAAAAGTTAAAATGACCATGTTTCTTCATTGTGGAAAATTGATCATAATGTGCTCTATAGAAGTTTTCTCTCTACATAGCAAAAATTTTTAGTGGATTCATATTACATATATTAAAATCATTACAGCCATTGGCAGCCATGTGTCAAAATTTTAGGTGGAGCACTGTAACTGTCACCCTTAAATGGCTTCACAAAGGACACTATTGAAAATGTCTCCGACACGCTGGTGAACTGATCAATAAAATGTAGACTGCTTGTGCCCCCATGTCCTGTTGCTCCTCAAGTGTATTTTATGCAGGGTAGAGAACACAAGTGAACTTGCCCCGGAAAGATCCTTTAGCCTAGAAGATGTAAGTGTAGTAATTTAACTGATGTGAATAGCACATTGCATTAGGAGAAAAAGCCAAAGATGTTACTTATTTTTAATTTTCTCATTTTTCTGAGCAGAGCTGTTTCAAAATGACAGAAGTACCAATAGGCACAAGCCATTGTCAGTAATCAGAAAATTAAAGCAACTCTCATATCTCCATTCCAAAGTACTATGACATTACAGTCTATTTCATTATTAATCCATTGACTGCACGTATGCAAAGGGATAGCATACAAGACATTTCATTTTACAGTTAAAATAGGATTAAAACAGGATAAAAGTAAACAATGGACACTTCAGCCTAAATCTATACAACCATAACATCACTCTAACATTTTTGTCTTTTTTTTATTTTGATCTTACCAAAAGGGGCATTATACCTTAAACAAACTAATGCAAGTTCGCATGGTCTCAGATAGTTATTCCAAAAACAATGCAGTATTTTATAATGAACATTTATAATCAGGTTGGTAACAAAGTAATTCATCATGTAAACAAATTAATAAATCATCACTAAATAAATATCTGTAATAGTAATTACTAACATTTTGTTCATATCACTTAGGACTCAAACCCGCAAGCCCTCTGTACAGCATTGCCTCTACAATGAACATTTTGGTCTCTATTTTTAATGTGAGCTGAGCAAATAGCCAATAAGCTATCCAATGTAATTAGACTGGAATACAGAGAAGCAGATCAAAATTGTTGGTCTCTCTTTGAAGTCTATGGCCTGATCACAGACATTTACCAACAAGTATTCATTTTCTGATATTTGCTATTTGAGCTACCTTGGTTAATTGTGTGTGGTCAGACTAATTATATTGCCTGTTCTTGGTTACCTGATCGAATAAGAGTGCAAGCACTTTAGGCATAAATATTCATGAAAACCTACATTTTTGGGTTCCAAAAATAGTTTCAAATATAGCTCTGAAATTTACTTTCCCCAAAAGTGTATCAGCAGCATTGGGCTGAACAGGAGGAAAAGGAGAGAAGATGGGTTCTCCCAAGGTGATCTGGGCAATTGCAATTCATGCTCTAACTACCAACTTCCATCAGCACCATGATGAAACACAATGGCAATAGTTTTCTCCTACTTCAAATAAAAGGTGTTGGAAGTACTACTCCATCATTTTGGCTACGTATAGACTGCAAGCCTCTTTCGAAAAAGGCTTTTTTGAAAGATACTTTTGAAAAAGCCTTTTTTGAAAAAGAGCGTCTAGACTAAAACCAGTACTTTTGAAAAAGCAAGCCGCTTTTTCAAAAGAGAGCACCCAAGCAGTCTGGATGCTCTCTTTCGAAAAAACCCAGTTTGCATTACATAGTGCCTTTTTTCAAAAGAGCACTTGCGAAAAAAGGCATTCTTCCTCGTAAAATGATGTTTTCCACAGTCAAAAAAACTGCCGCATTCTTTTGATTTACTTTCGAAAGAACGCAGCAGCAGTCTAGATACAGGGGAAGTTTTATCGAAAAAAGGCCACTTTAAAAAAAAAAAACCCCTGTAGTCTAGACACACCCTTTATGCTGTGATTTTTGTTAATGAGCTCACCTGTCCCAGTGCTTGAGCTACTTTGTGTGTTGCCCTTTGCCTATTGCTGTTATTTGTGTTTAATTCAAATATACTACTACTGTACTATGAATTTCGGGATGTTTCACAGATTATGCTTCCTAATATATACCAGGCTAATACATTAAATTGAAACACAAGAGACATCAGAGTACTTCTCACAAAGATTAATTTCTAGATTTTAATTTTACTGAGTCTTCTGCCAGCCAGGAGGGATCTATGGGATCAGTAATTAATTGGTCACCATTGCAGGAGTCTTGGATGGAGTCTTGGGTGGTCAACAGGTCTTTGTCTCTAGAAAAATTCCCTGCCTGTCAGTCACTCAGAAAGAGAAAACAAAAAAAGCTGAACATGGTCAAAACACATTTGTGTAAACATATGAACAACACTTGAGGAATTTTTATTTTCATCATTTGCCCAGCTCTCCTTCCAATATCATTTGAAGTCAACTACGTTAGTTATTACATATATCCAAAATATGAACTCAAGTTTGGCTAAAATCTGATGGTTTCTTGTGTATGCTTTGTGAGTTCTTAGCAAAGACTCCAAGTAAAATATTCTAAAAGTGTAAAAAGAAAGATTAAAAAGAAATGTTGTGGAAGAAATCACCACCTGAAAAGAAAATATGAACAATATTTAAAATGGTCACACAGTTTCCCTATACAAAAACTTAAGTATAAAAATTTACTTTCTATTTATTTTTTCTTATGCTGGTTTCATTTTAATTACCATACAGATCCATAATATGACAATTTCAGGCAGGGCAGCTGATAGACTTAGCTGGGTCCCCGGCAAGGCGAGAGGGAGGTGTCTCCAGGTTCCTGGAAGAGGTGGGACTTTGTGCAGAAGGGATCGGGCTGAGGCTAGGTTCCCCCAGGCAGCCCTTCAGCACCAACCGGAGCTCCAGCAGTGATTTAAAGAATCTGAGTCTCCAGTCTTTGCCATTGCTGCTGTAACTGCAGTGGTAGCTGGGAGCTTTTTTTTAAATAGCCAGGCTCCAGGGTAACTGACCCCTTTTGTCCCTTTCCCCCATTTAAAAGCCTGATTTTAGGCTTTCTGGAAAGATACATTTTAATACAGTCCTGTAACATTTGTTTAGTATAAATATATTGGCAAGGAACTTTGACCAGCAGAAGTAAATTTCCATACTTTTTTTTTTTTTTTTACAATTTTTGAAATTTTACAATGGCTAGTTTCTGAATGCAAATATTAATGCACAAACGTAAAAAAGGCAATTTTAACTACACTTATCACCTTTTATATCAGGTGCAGCTTTCCGAAAGGAATATGAAAGAAAATCCTTTCTATTGTAGAGACCCATTTTAAAGAGACACAGTAACTTAGTCTCTGTTTTGAAAAAGAATACTGTACGTCTATACTTTATTATAAATAATCATGTTCTGTCATAGTTTCTTCTTGCCAGCAAATGAAGGACATTTTTTTCACAAAGCTTCTAAAATGTACATGAGTAGTTGATTAAATCCCTTGAGAAAATAAAGTTCATTCACACAGAACAGACAATAATAAGGAGCTCATTATTACAATAAGACTTTTAAGGACCTTGGTAGCCAGTACCAGTTGCATTTGGAAAGATACCTCAATTTTTCTTTTTTTAAAAAATAAAGATACAATCATAGTTATTCATTTACTTTAAAAATTCTAAAGATGAAGAAAAGTAGTGTTTATATATATATAAGTCCTCATATAAATTATAAAACTCAAGTTTATGTTACAGAGTTCCTTCCCCAGAGGAAGCATAAAGCACTTTTGTGGTACCTTCACCAGTAAATATTTGTATCACATTAAGTTTGACAAACACAACACAGATTGATATTGCATCTTAAAGCCCAGAGAGAACATTCCTTTGATACAGTCTTTCCTGATGAATGTGCTCCATGGGATCATTTGATTGCCATGAGTTCCGTCAATTTTGACTAAAGCGAATAGGAAAGTAACTCATCTAATCAGTTCAGAAGGAATTGGAAATATTAGTGTACAGCAGTCTCATCTAGTTTGAGGTCAACATACACCCTTTGGAAGACAAAGAGGAGTTTAAAAATATGACAATAAAATCAAAACAGCAACGAGGTAAACTCCTCCCAAAAAGGCAGAATGAGCTGGCATGTCAGGAGAGAGTTTGATTATATCTGACACCTAAGTGCTTTTCTAGCCAGAGTTCAGCCAGCTGCATGGTAGATGCAAATGTACTTGCTCTGGACCCCAAGCACATTTTATATTGTTTAGGGTCTAAATTGGGGTCGCACTGAACAGGATGAAAAACATGTACAACTCCTACTTCTTGACTTCTAAAAGCCTTCAGCCCAGAAGTTATTACTTTAGTGAAGAGGTCTACATCCTCAAGTCCCCAGCCTTGAATTGAGGTATCAAATCCACCAGCACTCAGTAGATCACTTTTGTAAATACAAGTGATTCCAAATCCATAGTCTCGCCAAAATCCAGTTTTCTTTGTGAAAACAAAGTTACTGTCAGCTGGAGGGTTGCCTCCATATATCACTTTTGGATCATATTGGCTAAAGATGATGGGATAATAAACTTGTTGTCCTTGAATAGTATTATCTCTACAGCGCTGGAGAAAGTCTGGAGTGAATATCAGGTCAACATCACAGAATAGCAGCAAAGTGTCATTGTCAAATTGAGATGAGGCTATTTCAAGACCTAATCCTCTGGAAAACTCTCCTGTCATAGGAATGAGTGTCATATCTGCCTTCGGATACTTATTATGATATTCTTTAATTAGCTCTCTGTGTTTGCTGGAATCTTGCCCAGAATCAGAGCTGAACAGAATTACTGCTAGCTTTACATTTTGTCTGGGAATGACACAAGTCTTTTCAAAATTCTCCATAAATCGCAAGAAAATGTCGTATCTTCCTGTGAGAGGGACAAGAATATGTATTTTCTTGTCACTGTGACCTCCTATTTCTTTGGTGCCTTGGAAGGATGAAAAAATCTTTAAAGAATTTGAAAGAAAAGAGAAAGACTGAGTATCACTGTTGATATTCTCCACAAGGTTTCGCACATCCAGTTCCTCAGCCTCTTTGAAAAAAGGCTTGCTAAACAATTGCTGAAGGTAGGCATGACGTCTCACTGGAACTGTCAGTTTTCTTCCTTTGTGTCTTTTGTACAGAAGCAGCAAATCCAGGATATACTCCACTCCATGCATAGGATCAACCCTACGGTAGCCATATTGTATTTCCTTGAAATCAATCTGCCTTCCCCTTGATTTAGAGTTCTCGTTTATCATTTCCATTACTTGCATCACTGTGTCATCCAATGCTGCTCGCAAAACACTATTTATGCTTTGTCTGGGTGGCTGATTCTCAGTCACAGAGTACAGTAACTTCCCTGTTAGGAATTCCCATTCAATGACTTCATTCCTTTCATGGGGCTGGAAGCGATTGAAAGATGGCATCATTCCTAGCTGCTGATCTTCCTTATTTATTTCACTGTTACTGAGCTTGCTCATGAGGGCACTCTCTCTGTGGAGCTGGATGGTACGATAGCGTAGTTCTGAAATTTTGCGACTCAGTATGTAATTGTGGAGTCTGTATTGGTAGGCTGGCCTTTTATTTGGATGAAGTGTGATGGCTGTGTGTATTTTGCTGTTGTGAAGATCTTGTATGTAACCCTTCCGATTATGTTCGTAATTTTCATGGAACAATTGCTGCATCTGGAAAGGGAAGAGAATAAATGCAGTTAGGTAGGGGAAAATGGTAAAAAAATATAACCCAATGAACACCTGTTCACTTATTGTGGTTTACTTTTCAAATCACAGTTTTCAAGTCAAATATTGAGTATTCATTATGTATATTTTATTATTTAAATTACAGTAATGCCCACAATGGGCATAAGATGGGTTGACATCTTGTGCTTATCTTTAGTTATTCTACCTGGAAAACCAGATGGATTCATTCATGTACACAGTAGTAAATCATGTAAACAATTTTGGTAGAACTGACTTCAGTGTGAGCAGGACTGAGCCCATGATGAAGTACAGGTTGAATTTTGAAAAGTATTCAGTTCTTCTCATAAGTCTCTATCGATACATAAACCACCATTTGTACAGATCCTTATTGCACAGCTATTACAGAAGCTGAGTGATTGAGGCTTTTTCTTTTTTGAACAAAAATTTGGATTTAGGTCAAGACACACCTGAACAGTTCTACATAATTCATAATTCCTATTGCACTAAGCAAATGGAGAGAGCGTCTTAATTTAAGCAAACTGACCTCAGTTGAAAAAAATTGTTAGATTTCCTCATTCCCACACCAGATTATGATACAGTATCTGTGTTATAATCATGAGGATGTAGAGTACTGGCTTGCCAATCATACTATATTTGTAAAGCCAATATCATTTAGTGTAACTCACTATTGATTTCTCTGGTAAAGATATCCTGCTTACTAAATGTAACTGTCAGATTATTAAATGTAACTAATTTAAATTATATCTAGTGGTTAAAGCACATGACCAGGAGTTAGAATATCTTGGTTGTAAACCTGCTTATGTTACTGACCCACTCTTGAGCAAGTCATGCAACCTTTCAGTGTCTCAGTTTCTCATAAACTGTTTTGAACGTTCATTACTCTTTGTAAAGTGCTTTGGTACTCTCACAGATGGGAAGCAATAAAGATGAGTAAAATATTATTAACCCTTCTTAAATACATTTTAGTCACACCATTCTTTGCTGAGATAACAAACACAGATTTAATTGGAAGCATGTTCCCAATAATATAACAGAAAAGAAAATGCAGGCTGTTTTCATTTATTTGATTAATGGGAAAGAGGCTGGTCTGTAATTACGTTATATAGAAAAGGGGGAAAGTGCTCATTAGATAGGAAATGCTGTTCAGAGTCTTGTGGGTGAACTGAAGCACTAATTAGATCTTGAGGTTTGTATTGAAGTCTGTCTTCTATGCACAGCACAGATCAGCAAAGATGACATCTGATAACAGAACAAACATTACTGCCGCTTCAGAATGCTTAACTAATTCACTTTATTACAAACCTCTCTAGACTGGGGAGCATCCTTAAATAGTTTGCTACTCATAGATAATAGCCACCTATTATGCTAGAACCAAGAGGATAAAAACACCTATTAGCAAAAGATTCTTCAGAAGAAAATACACGTAATTGTATTTAGAAAAGTTATTAATTTCACACACAATTTCTACATATTGCTATTTCTTCTTCTTCTTCTGTAAATGAATTTTCTTATATAAACAAAACAATTATTGTTAGTTACCTCTGTATTTGAGTACCACCTTGGCAGATCCTAGAGCCTGAGCCCCAGCCTGAGCCCATACATCCATATCACAATTAAACAGCCTCTTAGCCTAAGCCTGATGAACTCGATTCAGATGTCATGGGCCAGGCGTAGGATTTCAATTGCAGTGTAGACAGAGGGCAGACTCCTGGGCGAGGTATGGGAGGGTAGGCTTGGGGCCACCGTAACTGGAAAGGCCACAGGCAGAAGTGGTGGGATTAAGGGCTGGGCTGGCCCCCACTGCCCAGGGCTCTTAAAGGACCTGAGGGAGCTGTCCCTTTTCCCTCTTATCAGCATCCCAGGAGCCCAACTGCTGCTGGCCTAGCATGGCGTCCCCACATGGACGTGGTGGAGCTGGACCACAGGCGGCAGCCAAATGGTGCACATGGCACAGACCAGCCCCTAGCACTTTGGTGATTTAAACTACTGTGAATTAAAAGCAGCAGGGAGCTTCCAGCTGCTGCCATCATCACGATAGCAGCAGTAGTGGCTGGTAGCTCCAGGCCCTTTTAAGTCACCCGGACTGCTGGGCAATTGCCCTCTTTCCACCCCTTCCCCAATTGGCAGCCTTGAGTGTAGTTATACCCTTAGTGGGTGCAATCATCCTTAAATTTCCAAATTTGTGGAGAAAAAATGCTTTTTGTGAAAAGTTGGAGGCAATGGTAGTAATAAAGGACCGACTTTACAGCCTGAGAGCTGTAATTAGTATAGCAACCCTTTCTGTATCTTTTCATGCAGTTTTGAAAAGCTCAGAATTATCAATAATAGGTAGCTACTACTGACAGAAAGTAAAGTATTTATAGGCTAATGCCTAAGTGCTGACCAGGAGTGTGCACCACTAGGCTGCGTCTAGACTGGCAAGTTTTTCTGCAAAAAAGGCCGCTTTTGCACAAAAACTTGCCAGCTGTCTACAGTGGCCGCTTGATTTTGCGCAAAAGCACTGACGTTCTACTGTCCGAAATCAGTGCTTCTTGCGCAAATGCTTTGACGTTCCCGTTCGGGCAAAAGCCCTTTTCCGGAAATGTTTTTGCGCAAGAGGGCCAGTGCAGACAGCTAAAAACTGTTTTGCTGTCTACACAGAAAGCCCCGATGGCGAAAATGGGAATCGGGGCTTTCTTGCGCAAAACCGCGTCTAGATTGGCACGGACGCTTTTCCACAAAAAGTGCTTTTGCAGAAAAGCATCCGTGCCAATCTAGACGCTCTTTTCCACAAATGCTTTTAACGGAAAAACTTTTCCGTTAAAAGCATTTGCGGAAAATCATGCCAGTCTAGACGTAGCCATCGTGTTAGCCACTGCAGAAATGCAGAGAAGTAAATGGTCCCTAGTGAGGGGATACGGCAAGTGAAAAGAGGGTTAGAGAGGCAGGTGCATAGTGAAGCTGAGGTGAAGAGACTGTGAGGAAAAGGGAGGAAGAGAGAGCTGTGGTACAGAAGGGTTGAAACAGCCAATCAGCACAGAGCAAAGGAGATCTAATAAGATATTGTAGAAAGTTCTCTGAATATCAAAAGGACATTTTGCTTTGGCAACTTCTGCCTGTACTGTCTGGAGCCTTTGAGTAATTCCTTTCCACAATTTTCTCATAAGCCCATACGGTGGGAGGGGGATCAGGAAATGCACTAGCTGGAGCCCAGGAGCTATGTATTGATAGTCCTAAGTCATTAATACATTGTATAAAAATCTTATGCCCTTTGGAGAACATGGTTAGAATGCATCATGATCCTGATAAATTGTAGAATTGATATGAAATCAATAAGATGAATTTCAATAAAGACACGTGGAAAGTGCTGCACTTAGGAAAGAAAAAATCAAATGCACAGCTAGATAGCAATCCTGCAGAAAATTATTTGGGGACAATAATGGATCACAAATTGAATATTAGTCAACATTGTGATGCAGTTCCAAACAAATCAAATGTCATTCTGGGATGCATTGACAGGATGGTTGAATATAAGTCATGAGAGGTAATTTGTCCTCTATTTGGCACTGATAAGGCTTTAGTAATATTGTGTCCAGTTTTAGGCACCACACTTTAAGAATGATGTGGACAAATAGGACAGAGTACAGAGCAGAGCAACAAAAATGATAAGAAGTTTATAAAATTTGACCTGTGAGGAAAGGTTGAAAGAATTGGGCATGCTTACTCTACCGAAGTTAAACTGAGGAGCAATAAAATAACAGTCTTCAATCTATAACAGGTTATTTTTAAGATGTTCCACTAAAGGCAGCACAAGAAGTTTGCACCACAAGAAGTTATCAGCCTAGTTTGCAGCAAGGGAAATTTAGGTTAGATATTAGGAAAATTAACATTTAAACACTGATAAAGTTATCTAGAGAGGTTTTGGATCTCTGCCATTGGATAACCAGTGGTTAGGGATTGTCTAGGTACACCTGGTCCTACTTCAGCATGGTAGGAAAGAGCAGAGGTCTTCTTGAGGTCCCTTCCAGAGCTATATTTCTGTGATTCATTGAAATACTTTCATCTTAGCACACAATAGGGCAGATCCTCCATTGATCTTAATTGGTACTGATTTGTGACCTGAACTAAATGAACTATGTTAAAGTATAACACCTGTGGTTTGGTCCCAGTGTGTTTAGATCCTGTTCCCACTCAAATCAGTGAGTGGGGAAGAATCCTACTGAATTCAGTGGAAGCAAGCCCAGTGTGTTCATTTTCTGTAGGACTTCACTAATTTTTTTTCTGAAGAGGTTGCTGCATTTTGAATTAGCCTTAAAGCACAACTAGCAGTATGGTTGGCAAGAATTTCTGATTGCATATCTTGATGCCAGCTAAAGCTAGAAGCTGGCATGAGATTTGGGTAATCCAACAGTGCTCTAAGGAAAGCTGGACTACAAGCAATTAAAAAAAATGGTGAACTGAGAACAGTAAAGACAATGTTTCCTTGTATGCTTCATTACAATAGTTAATATGTATGCATAAGGTAATTTGCATTGCAAATATTCAAACGCATGGTAATCTTTGTGATTTACTGATGTAATAACAAATGAAAGTCCTTATTACATATAATGCAAATGCCCAAGCCATCCCTCTTTTATTATTATTACAAAACTAGTTTGCGTTAAAAGACTGAATGCAAATAGTGCTTTTTTAAATTAACACCATTTTTCTCTGAATATTGTTTATAAAATAATTTCCCTCACAAGTCCAGGAATTAAACTTAATCCTCACCACAACTCTGCTTTAAAAAAAAATATGAATCACAATATTATTATACCACCAGTATTTTATGGAACAACCAGCTTTTCACAGAACAATGGAGTACTTTTCAGTCATGTTTCCCCACCCCCAATAGTTAAAGATTGGGTCATGTCCTGCATTCCTGAGCATCCAAAACTCAGTGATTTCAAAGGGAATTGCAAACACATAAAATTAATACAGAGCTG